AAATTCTGTATTTCGACTCCACTGTGTAGTTGTACTATTCAGAAATGTCTTCTTGAGTCAGTGGGAAAACAAGATTTTTTTTTCTTTAGATGACAAAAAAGAAAAGTCTTGTAGCGTTCATCGTTTCTTTAACCCGTGCCCTGTTGCTGTAATTGATTTAGATTTTAACCTTTCCACCAGCATACTGGTTCTTTTTGATGTTCACTCCCATTTTCGTGGCTTCTTTTCCTTCGTATCCTCCTCTCCTACATTCGTGCGGGCTCGCGCACGTGCTGTGTTTGTGGTGTGTATGCGCCTTACCTGTCTTTTCATGCCTTTATATAAGTGCCAATTTTAATCCTGCCTTCAGGCAAGAAGGTCTGTCTTCAAGTAAATATCTTCACCAGACATAAATCATTCACTGTCTCTCAGATCCTTCCTTGTGATGAACCTCAGGTCCATCCAATATTACTCCTCAGAGTATCTAAAATGATTCTTTAACTAAACTGAACTGTACCTTTTCTAAGCTTGAAAAAATTTCTGGTCACATCAGGCTTCCTCTTATCACAGAATTGAAAGTTTTTTCCCCTTTCCTTTCAGTCATATGATCTTCATTGATATATTGCCTGATTTGATTAACATGACTTAGGAGAACATTGAATTGGGGGGTTAGGCTTCACTTTTTCACTGCTTGTTACGTTTACCATTCTTTATGGTTATCTCTGAGAGAACTAACTGAATGTCTGTTCATGTTAAAATTAATTTTGTAGAACTAATGTGTTGATTTGAATTCACTAATTTAAAGCTATAAGAAACTGATGTGACTCCATTTTTGAGAAACCAGCTTCTCTCAAGGCTTGTCCAGAGGGAGGGGGCATGACCCTTGTCCTTGGAAAAACCCTCAGAGCCCTCCTAGGCACAAACCCACCCTGCTAAGTTGTTTAACAGGAGCCATCTGAGGTGCCTGGTGTCCCTGACTCAGTTATGCTAGTTGAGGACCTTTAGCAACCCCTAGCAACCACCAATCAGCGGGAGACAGCAAAATATCTGAAATGCCAAGTGACCCTCCTCTTAGTTTTGATGATTGATAACAGGATCAGGCCACCCTGCAAGTTTAGCTTAAACACTCTTGTAATCTCTCCCAGCCTAAACCAATTGGTTCAAATGTATCCACCACTTGAACTAACCAATCACCCTTGCCCAACTTGTTCCCGCCAGTGAATGTGCTAATCAATGTTAGGAGTTGTTTGATTTTCTTGCAGTATGAAATGATTTGCTGTGTGATGTTGTGATGAATGGAGTATCCTCCCAAAAACTATAAATCCTCACTGAACCAAGGGACTCACTCTTCAGGACCACTGTGTCGAAAATGGTTGTGAGTCCAGGCTCAAGGTAGCAACAAAGACTCTTTTGTGATTGCATTAGATTCGGCTCCTGGGGTCCCATGAATCTGGCATTACGGCTATACATGTAAGACCTACTCCTGCATAAAGTATTTCATGATATTCTTAGAAACTTCAATATTCCATTAACTGATTAGTCCAACTCTGGAATTTCATAAAGTAGAAACTAAAATCCAATATAAATTGGGTGACTTGGTCTAGGCCACAAAAAGCCTTTGCTATCTACCTGTGGAATACTTGATCTAGAACCCCAGAGCAAACTTAGTCAGTGAACTTTCACAAAACTACTTAAAATATCCTTTGTTGTGCATTCCAAACCCAGTTTCATCAACTACATAATATTCTTCTCCATCCATAAAGTGTTATCCTTTA